AAGTGTTGTTTAAATACTTCCTAATTATTCGAGCTTTGTGAACTGAACAGCCGTCTTCATGGAACCAAACATTCTTCAGATTTACATCAGAAAGGTTGAGAATAGCGGGAAGCACATGATTCTTTAAAAAATCGAGGTATACTCTACTATTCAAGTTGTCTTAAATAAAAAGTGGACCTATTATGTGGTCTCCTAAAATGCCAGTTTAGACGTTGAGTTCGATTAAAAACACTGGTGTTGTGTCTTCTTACCAACAAAATGGAAGATTTATTGGTAAATAAAATGTTTTTAATAAAATTAGTGTAGAGTTTCACAAAACTTTATTCTTCAAAAGTAGTCGTCTCGATAATGCTGCTGCGTTTTCGTATATTTAAAATTCTTGTAACCATGCTTTTTCCATACTTTCGTTAAAGTAACATTTAACATCTAAATTTCTAGCAACGTTTCCACTTGAACGTGTTGAATCTACCTCGATTTTTGCACAAATGTGTGTATTACAGTATTCTCTTTCCTCAACTTTTTCTGGTGACACTTCTTGAGCGTGACATTTTCTGCGATTTTTAAGGCAATAACAACTCTCAAAATTTTTAACAACATCATAAACTCTACGCAAGGAACTGGTCTCCTCTGTATAATAACCCCTGTATAATAACAAATTATTGGCGACGGGGCAACAGAGGTTCGTGGAAAGTCGACGGCGCGCAATCTTTCCATTTCTAGTGGGTATATCTAATTTAAAACTTAACGTTTTGTATCTTCTATTTAATGTGTATATATAGTTATACGAGTAGTTTTCCTTTATCAAAAATTACTATTTGACGAAATTTGTAACGAAACGATTTTGCCTACCACATAGGGTATGATTATAAGAGGTAGAAAATTGGGGACAGAAATTATTGGGGGTGGAGATAGGGCAAACAAAACATACGATACTTGTGCGAACGGCACTCAGGGTTTGTTTGAAGAACTGGGTCGTGGATAAGTAAATGGTAACGGGTCGGATTATGGAAACTACAAAAATGAAACAAAAGGGTACTTACATAAGTCTTATATCTTTTTTACACGAAACTCAAAAAAGGGTTAGTTTAAAAAAATAAACAAAATGGTTAAAAAAATTAAACATTTATAGTATCTCACCACAAACAGTTAAAAAAATAAATCGCACAAATTACTATATAGATAGTTGCAGAGTACAAAAATAACAAAGAAGAACTTACATGGAGGTTAACCTTCTTTAAATACAAAACAAACTAATAAAAAACTAATAAAGTTAGCTGTCATATGTTAAAATTAAATTTAAAATCTGAGAACGAATAAAGTGACAGCTAAATCACACCCTAAAATTTATAATTTTTAAATATTGAAACTTTTAAATTTGTATAAAAGCAATTATTGATATTTAAAAAAGTTTACTTTACTTTGAAATTTAACACAAAAAAAAGTTACCTGATTTTCACTAAAATTACACTTAAGTCAACAGTATACTCAAATTCTTAAAAAGTCAACAATGGCTGGGAATCTCTGACACACGAACAAAAGGACTGCTTCAAATGGTGTGAAAGACGATCACAAACAAAGGTTGAAATGGCACTACGGCTTGGCGTCTTACAAAACGGGATAGGATAACTGGATACAATGGCAACACTTCAAAAACTCACTTTACTTCACTCAAAAACAGAAAAGTTTACAAATTCGACGTGAAATTTGGACAAACGCTAGAAACAGCTGCCAACGCCTCCGCGATAGTGATGAAATTTTCTTTAAAATTAATTCACATAACTTGGTATAAACAAAACCCTTAACGGGAATATTTATTTACAACACAGAATATGAAACGCAAAAGAATGCCGAGAAAGTACACATCTGTTAAATATAAACAAATTATAAAAGGGTTTTACATTGTAACGACTATATTTTGCTTACCTCAGGGTAAGAACATGGGGTAGAAGATTGGGCAAACAAATAAATCGAAACAAGTGCGTACGGCACTCAGTTGGTTGTTGGAGAGCTGGGTCGTGGATAAGTTGAAGATATTGGGGGTTGGATTGGGGTATCTACAAAATGAAAACAAAAGGATACTTACATAAATCTCCTGGGTCAAAAAAAAACCCAGATAACCCTGCCTAAGATATGGCAGATAAATTCACCTCTAGCTATTTTTCTTTTCTTGGACGCCGCTTCGAAGAAAACTTCCTGCTGGGAGAAAGAAAAAAATTCTTCGTCCTTACAATCTAAAATATACACAAGGATTAGGAGACTTTTCTAAATTAAAACACAAAATTGATCAGAGAAACAAATTGAATGTTTATTCTTATCTCAAAACAACAGTTATCCAAAATATAGGTTACAGAAGAAACATACTATATCATAATACAAAATAAACAAAACTTACATGTCTTTGTTTTACATCAAAGATTGCTACAAAAATTCAAATGGTTTCTAGTTATAATCTGGCCAATTTAGATTATCAAAATTTTGTGGATATCCTTTTTATAGAAAATATTATTGAATTTAACCTTATATATGGAATATCTTTTTATATAAAATAATCAAATTAAATTGTCTTTTAACAACAATGGATTAAAGCAAAATGTCATCTGTCAACATAACAATTTAAGACAGATTAAATTATGACATTTTTATCTATGACAACATAATATAAATCTTTAATTATTACAAATTTTATTAATGAAAGCAATTATTAATAATGTCCATATAACTTGGAAAAATTAATATATTAAAAGTTACCTTAAATTTTTTTTACAATCACTTAACTTTGAAACTTGTTATATCTCTGGGGAAGCTTACTCGGACAAAACTCTCAAACTGGAAAACAGCAACCATCAGGAATCATTTTCACACTCCGGGACGAACGATCAAACAGGCTGGTTGAGGAATCAAGCTAGCATTTGGAACACCTTACACCACACTTCACAAAAGCTTGTGGCATTCATTCAAATCTTCCGGTGACTACCATACCATAGGTACCTAAACAATATAAAATGAAGTACTCTGTTCAAAGACGGCAATTAAAAACCAAGAATATCTTCATTTTTTTTACTGATATTAAAACAATACCAAAAAATAAACGATTGAATCGAACACCTCGATTCAAATCGATATGACTCTCCCCTTCGGTTGATTAAGCCCTTGACTGCCCCACCCACCGCGTTCCTTCTCTTAATTCGAATGCCGAATCCACCCCTTTTCCCGCAGTTAGCCTGTCATCCACAGACTTAAACAAGACTCCGACTTCACACAACCTTGAAATTTCTTATCCTCTGCGTGGTAACAAAAATTACCTGACTGCGATAATTTTTCTAAGAAACTATTTTTAAGGTGAATATTTGTTGACTAGATAAACAAAATCGTTCTCAAATGCCAAATACGTCTCTATTTTTGAAGCTTTATTACGTATTTAAAAATCTCGACTTCCATAACAGACAAAAACATTTCTTGGTATACCAGGGCGTACTATGACAATTTAGACCGAATTTATATTATTATATAGATAATAAATATAAAACGCTACAACATTAACATCCAGCGATGCAAATAAAATTATTGAAAACACTTTTGGTTATTTTTAACTTTTACGATAGGAAATTAAAATACGCTGAAATTATTCTTCAATGTTTTAAATATATACAAGGAGATTTCAATTTAATACATATAACAAGGGGATTTCAATATATACCAAAGAATTTATATATCAAGGAATTTAAAAATGTTACAAATTACTTTGTTAATTCGTTTAAGTTTCTAAACTTCTATACGTTATTTCTAGGGTGGTCCAATAAGTACTTAGCCTATAAAAGAAAAACTTAAATTTTGGAAAAGTTGGAAATTTATTTCTCAACATAGTCACCTATTAGCTAAATACACTTGACACAGCGATGTTCCAACTTCTTTAACTTTTCTGAAAAATATATTTTCTCGAAGTCGGCAAAATGGGTTTCGAGGCGACAATGACCTCCTTATTAAACTTAAATTTCTGCCCGGCGAGTGCGTTTTCAATTTTGAAAACAAAGAGGAGTCGCATGGGGTCAAATCTAGAAAATACGGTAAATGAGACAACAGTTCGTAGCTCAAATCAATCAATTTTGCCATGGCGAAGGTGGAAGTGAAATGAAACTTTTTTCGCCAAATGGGGTCATTTTTTCTACAACTCGGCGTCAAATCATCCTATTAAATCAGCGTACTAGGGCCCTGTGTCCGTTTGGCGGTTCTTCAAATAGTCGATGTAGACCACCCCTTGCGATCCAGAAAATTGTGAACATTACCTTTCCGGCCGATAGGACTATCTTTACTTCTTCGAAGCACGTTCGTAGGATGTCATTCAGTGTTTTGACTATTTCGTGATCTCTGGTGTATACCAGTGGATCCATGTTTCGTCTACGGTTATGAAACGACGTAGAAAGTCCTTTGGATTACGCTTAAATATAACTAAACACTGCTCTTATGTACTCTCACTTTTTGTCCGGTATGTCCAAATGCCGCATCCATCGCGAGACAGCTTTTTTATGCCCAAAATTATACAGGATATAGTATAGGAGGTCTTTTGAGATGCTCACTGTCTCAGCTATTACGCGCACCTTCAGTCAGCGGTCTATCAATACGAGATCGTGGATGTTTCTCACGTTATTGTCCGTGGTAGCTGTTTTGGGGATACTGAGGCGTGACTCACCAAAAACCAACATGCGACTAGGTTGAAACTCGTACCAATTTTTAATATTGGCCATTTAATGAAAAGAGTCCCCGTACACAGCATTTGAGCGTTCTTTGATTTATCTTTTTCGTGCAATTTTCCATATAAAAACAAGGAAAATAAATGTTAGCAATAACCGTCTACAATAATGTACTATACTATTTCTCTTGAGATAGTGGCGCCATAGGCCGGTGAGTCTAAGTAGGTACTTATCGGACCGCCTGCGTAAATTATCAATTTTGTTTTTATTTCTACTGTTTATCTCGAAATATTATTTTCTTAATTTTTTTAGATATACTATAATTGAAGCCGCTGTAGAAGTTTTTAGTAATTTTGAACTCCAATTAATGAAGCTAACTTGCAATGGAGGACCAACGAGAGCAATGCAAAAATTAGCTAGAGATGCTTCTGATAGAATTTTTGATTACTTTCTGACAACAGAGCAAGACAAAAATGTTACTAAAGCAGAATTAACTAAAGGTTGGTAAAAGTCTCATATTTTTATTAGCTGATTGTCTCTTAGTTGTCTTACATATTTTCTTATAAATAAATACGTGGTATTAGTGTGCTGAAGAAATATAACTAATAGAAAAGAAATACAATTCTTCATCATTCTTGTTTATTACCTTTGCAAAATGTAAAATATTTCCATATTGGCAGATGTGGTGTTTATCGTAAGGTTTATTGGATAATATGCTTGTTTTCTAAATATTTTTTGGTTAGAATAACCTCACTCCATATAGCTTCTATTTCGAGAAAGACTGTCCTTTCTGCTTTCTGAACAATTTTCAATTACTAAAGAAATATGGCAAAAAAAAGAGAAATCATACGATTTCTACCTGGCGAAATCGAATTCAAATGTAACCGCTGTGCCCCCTAAGACTTGCGAAGCAAACAGCTTGATGAATGCATCGGCAAGGGAGTCTAAAAATTGCACTCCAAATGCCGTTCATCATGGCCTATATTCGTAGTGAATTCGATTTCTGGTACTCCAAATGAAGTAAATAAACAAAACAAATGACGGTATTATATTTTGATTTGATACAGAGCAGCAACAAGCCGCATATACGTATTTCGATCTCTTTAGATCTCCTCAGTACGGTATAGTTACTACTCCATATCAAACCAAAATATTTTCCCGTCGTAGATTATAGTTATTAAAAATAACTATTTACGGACGTAACTACGCCATCAAAAACAAAAAAAAAATCATACGATTTCTACCTGGCGAAATCGAATTCAAATGTAACCGCCGTGCCCCCTAAGACTTGCGAAGCAAACAGCTTGATGAATGCATCGGCAAGAGAGTCTAAAAATTGCACTCCAAATGCCGTTCATCATGGCCTATATTCGTAGTGAATTCGATTTCTGGTACTGGGATGAAGTAAATAAACAAAACAAATGACGGTATTATATTTTAATTTGATGCAGAGCAGCAACAAGCCGCATATACGTATTTCGATATCTTTAGATCTCCTCAGTACGGTATAGTTACTACTCCATATCAAACCAAAATATTTTCCCGTCGTAGATTATAGTTATTAAAAATAACTATTTACGGACGTAACTACGCCATCTAAGAACAAAAAGAGAAATCATATGATTTCTACCTGGCGAAATCGAATTCAAATATAAGCCGCCGTGCCCCCTAAGACTTGCGAAGCAAACAGCTTGATGAATGCATCGGCAAGGGAGTCTAAAAAATTGCACTCCAAATGCCGTTCATCATGGCCTATATTCGTACTGAATTCGATTTCAGGTACTCCAAATGAAGTAAATAAACAAAACAAATGACGGTATTATATTTTAATTTGATAAATGAAATATGGCAAAATTGCGCAAGATAGGTTTGGTCAAGTTAGACGTAGAATTGAAAGCTATTAAGACGAGGAATAAAGCTGTTAGAAGTTGATTGAAAGAGAGATACAGGAAAAGACAGTAGGTAGAAATTAGCTCAAAAATAAAATTTACTTTATGCCAATAGGTACTTTTTCTCTGGGAATTCCAAAAAGACCTATCCATTGATGGAGCCTCAGCCATCTAAGGTTTATAGATCACATCTGATGAAGTTCTGATTGCTAATAATCCTGCAGAACTACAGGAACTTGAAATAAATGCAGGTAGCAATGAGGTTGGTCTAAAAATTAATCTGATAAAAACAAAAACCATATACAATGAGCTAGTGGATGTCCAAGAGTTAATAATAAACAAAACTGCACTTGGGTCGATGTTTGACCAACAAGCGAGAAATATGTGTTTTAGGCACTCATTTATCATGCTAGTTAAATAGTGTAATTATTGAAGTAAATTTAAAAGTAATTAAGTATAAATCTAAGTGAAAGTGGTTTGTATATTGAATATTGAAATCATGGTAGATAAAATATACTTTTTTCATCTACTTGTTTTTAGATATTTAAGTAAATCACTGCAAGTTATAAGTACTATCCAATTTTCATAAACTGGTATCACAATGAAAGCCGTAAAACAGCACCGGCTTTAGTTGGATTTAAATCCATTTAAAAGATGCCATCTTCCAGTCAGCTACCACAAAATGCACCATACTCAAAGCAGTTTGTCAACCAAGTAGTATATTAATCCCAAACAAAGATCAAGCTGTTCTATTTAACACTCTAGAGAATTGTACAATTAATGACTATCTTGAAGAATTGTCTTCTTCTTCTGGTTGATGATATTCTACCGGGTTCATGATATTCTCCTTCTACCGGGTCCTCGCTTACCTTTGACTTTACCTTGCAATATAGACTGTAGCAGGGAGTAACGGTGCTGATTTCTCATAACGTGTCCCAGATATTGCAATTTTATGCGTTTGATCGTAAACACAATCTCTGGTTCCTTTTTAATTTTTCCTAGAGCTTCCTTGTTTGTGATCCTTGCTGTCCATGATATTCTCAGCATTCTTCTATAAAGCCACATCTCAAATGCTTTAAGTTTTTTAATAGTGATGTCTGTAAGCGTCCATGCCTCCGCCCTGTACAACAACACAGAGAAAACATAGCATCTCAAATGTCTCATTTTTGTATCAAGGGATATGTTGTGACTTTTGAAGATGGTGCTCATTTTGTTAAAGACCGTTCTTGCCTTTCCTAGGCGGCACTTTATTTCCTGTAAATTGCTCCACTGTTCGTTTATAATAGTTCCCAGGTAACAATACTGTTTTACTCGCTCTATCTGCATCCCATTAATGTATAGATGAGCCCCATTTATATTCTCCTTGCTGATAATCATCTGTTTCGTTTTGTGAGTATTAATGTTTAGTCCGTACTGTACTCGTTTATTCTGTCCATTGGCCTCTGAAGTCCCTCTAAACTATCTGCTATCACCATCGTGTCGTCGGCATATCTAACATTGTTTACTCTTTCACCATTTAGAAGGATGCCTTCATCTATTCCGTAAAGAGCCTCGTTAAAAATTTTCTCTGAGTACATATTAAATATCAACGGCGATAGGATACATCCCTGTCTAACTCCACGTAGTATTTTAATGTGATCTGTTTCTTCTCCGTTAATTTTCATGTATGCGGTCTGATTCCAGTAGAGTTCTGAAATTATTCTGAGGTCTTTGTCATCCAGGTCTGCCTCTTTTAAAATGTTTATCATCTTTTGATGTTGAACTCTGTCAAATGCCTTTTCATAGTCGATCAAGCACGCGTATACGTCGCAGTTAATGTTTCTGCATCTTTGAATCAGTACCTGTACTCCGAAAAGTGCCTCTCTGGTACCCACTGCGGTAATGAAGCCGAACTGTCTGTCCGATATTTGTTCCTCGCACTTCTTATAAATTCTTCCATGGATGACTCTAAGAAACAGTTTCAACATGTGGCTCATTAGGCTGATTGTTCGATATTCTTCGCACTTTTTAGCCCCCTGTTTTTTAGGTATCGCTATGAATTCTGATTTTATCGGGGCTGATTCCTGTATTGTATATTTTATTGAAGACAGCCGTGATCCAAATTATTCCTTCTTCCTCCAAGAGTTTTAAAAATTTAGCTTCGATATTATCAGACCCTACAGCTTTCCTGCTTTTCATCCGTTTTATTGCTTCTTCTACCTCTGATTTAAGTATGTCCGGGCCCGTCATCCTCTCTGAAAATGGATGCCTATAATCCGTTCTTTGATCTTGAAAAAGACCAAATATATTCTCCATCTGTCTTTCATCTCTTGGGTGTCAATGATTAATTTTCCATTGGTGTCTATGAGTTTCATTTGTGTTCGCTTTTTAAAAGTACCTGTTATTTCTTTTACCTTTTTGTGTACATTAAAATTGTCATGCTTGGCTTGTAGTTTTTCTATTTCTTTACATTTCTCTACAACTTCTTTTTCTTTAGCTTCTCTTATTTTTCTTCTGATGTAAGCCTGCATTTTTTATACTCATCTTTATTTCCTTTAATTAACCTTCTCCGCTCCATTAAGTGAAGGATTTCTGGAGTCATCCAAGATTTCTTCTTTGTTTCTTTGTTTGGTTTTAGCAGATCTTGTTTAGTTTTCTTAATTATTTCTTCGAATTGATTGATTTCTCGTTGGATGTTATTTTCTTCTTTTAGTTGTTTAACTTGGTTGTTAATATATTCCCCCACTTGCTTTTTAACTTCCGGATGTAGCAGGGCTGTCATGTCGTAGTTAAGTCTAGACTTTTTCTTTATTGTCTTCAGTCTCACATCCATGACTCCCACTAAAGGTATGTGGTCAGATTCAATGTCCGCTCCTGGATATGTTTTGACAGATTTAAAACTGTTTCTGAATCTTTTATTTACCAATATATAATCTATCTGGTTTCTAATTACGTTATGGGGTTTATCTGCTGGTGCCTTCCATGTATACAATCTCCTCGGTGGTAGTTTATAAAATGTGTTCAGAACCACTAGCTTGTTATCTTCTGCGAATATTTCTAGACGTTTTCCGTTCGGCCCCAAGTTTTGCATTTTTTTTGTGTGTTTTGGCTTGGACAATTGTCATTCAGCCAGTCTCAATCAAGATAAGTTTATTAATGTAGTGTGTGTGTGTGTGTGTGTGTGTGTGTGTGTGTGTGTGTGTTTGTGTGTATAGAGTAATTGTCTTGATACTTAGCAAAGTCGAAGTCATTGTCTTTGCTAAGAGACGCTAATTGTATCCGAACGTCTGCGGTCCCTCCGGTGTGTACCGATCACACAAGCATAGAAATTATTTTCATTTATTAATTTTTTTAATAAACGAAAATTTTCACCCAGGTGGGATTCGAACTCACGACCTTTAGATTTAAAGGCAGGCGCTCTTACCACTGAGCCACAGAGGGGGTTAAGTTTTGCATTGAAATCCCCCATTATGAGGCTGACCTCATGTTTAGGTATTCGTTTTAATTGAAGTCGAATTTTGTCGAAATTGAATCGAAGGTGAAGGATAGAGTCAGCATATATGTAGAACCAAAAAATATATTTTTCGCATCCCGTATATTAAACGGTAGAATATGCATATATCTATCATCCA